TACACAGAGACGTGTTAATCCCAGAAGCTCTAATTGCATGTGAGTTAAAAAAATAAAGACATATGTAATACGTTTTGAGGTTTAGCAGGAGGTAGAGTAATAATAGGTGTAATAAAAACTAGGACGCTAGCCTCAAGTTATTCTTCAATAAACGACTGAATCACAGTAATATAGGGTATGGACAAATGAAAACAACATTTTGAATATGTCCTTTAAATTGCCAAGCCACCGGCAGAAATTAATTGAGAAAGAGTCAAATACGGGTTGTTGTATTAAAATGTTAATAAAACTATCTCGTTCAAGTACGCCTTGTAATGACAATGAACCCGTTTGGTAAGTTATGCGTCAATCACTCAGGGTTTTGCTCACGTTTTATGACGCATAAACCCATCATTGCATATAGCAGGGTATGTGAGCGAATATTCCCAGTTCAATCAAAAGTGATCCGACGTATGTTGGTAATTAAACATCCATGGAGTAAAATAAACAAATAATTCTGTACACCGAAATAATAGTTTTAGTCCTGTAATAGTACTTGTATGTAAACCTTTGCCATAAATGACGTGCAGATTCATAATTGAATGATCTGACAAAAGATACTTATATATGATATCGTTATCAAAGTTAATTAGTGGCTGCAGCAATTTTACAATAATCAACAATATGAACAATCTTAGTTATTGGTGATGTTTCACTTCCTGCATTGCCGTATTAAATGTCGCTGTACAATCTAATAGGAAAAACATCATCACGAATTTGATAGTCTAGAAGATGTTGCCGATTCAACTATCTGGTATTGCCAACACTAGTAACGCTGACCTAGTTGCCTGTTAACTATAACTGTATCAATCGTTTCAAAACCAGACACTTCATAGAAATTCTAGTTATGGTGATTTTCATCTGTTTGCGAGGATGGAGAAATGATAAATAGTTGTAGAATAGATTAGTTGGTAAGATTACACTGAAGGAGTCTACATTAATTTATAATTTGTTTATCTCATTTGACATCATTGTTTCGCAGATCACTTATTTCATTGCAAACCTTTTAAAACATTAGAGATCAATGAAAAGAGGGCGCTGTTCAAGTAATAGACCGTCGCATCAGTCTACTGTCTACACAAAGTAACTGGTTGTCAAGAAATGGTCGTTTACACTAAGTCTTTGTTCACTGCTGTTTTTGTGTTGCTATTAAATGTACATGTATGTGTTAATCAAACAACTTATAGTCAATATTATTGCAGCAGATCGCGAGCCTGTGTTGATCATAGAACGACAGTCATTATCACACTGTTGCATGCTGGTTTGTAAAAATGTAAGCAGATGACGTCACATTGCGGTGGCCTATACTCGAAGTGTTAAAATTCCAGCTCATCTTACTATTTGACTGTGTCTGCACGACTATCGTATCATCACATTTTGTAGTTTATCTCTATATCTCTAGCAGTTATGTCATAGTGAAGGCTGCGAGTATTGATACGAAGGCTGTGTCATGTTCACTCGGCACAAATGCGCCAAGAAAATGTTAATAAAAATAGTCGAATGTTTCGAGTTTATCAGTTCAGCCCATAAAGCCATGAAAAAATTGGTTTCCAATAGGATATAAGTTTATTTGAGAATATTTATAATTATTGTGAAATTTGAACTCAATTTCAAAACGTGGAAACACTAATTATATATGTCATGTATGCAAACATTGCGTACAAGACGAATTATCTGACGACTAGAGAACATTTTTATAAACCAAAAGTTAAAATCAAATATTGCTCTGAACGGCATGCTATATTTTATTATTTTTACAGATAAGAAACAAAAGAAATTTACTTGAACATTCGACGAGTAGGCAATTTGTTTCAATGTTGGAAGTGTTGTTTAAAGCTATTTTGGGTTGTATTCCGACCGCGTAATGTACTATAATAATAATAATAGGTTTATTAACAGCTTCGGAAATGAATATATTGCATTATTGATACAGTGTGTGCACATTGTCAAAACAACTTTAACTAATCAGTCACATGTGCTAGCTGTTCGGTTGCATGTTTAGTTTTTACATATCCTAACTGTGGGTCGCACACTTTTATGAATGATTAAATGTGCAGCGGAGTTCTAGTTGTCAATAGAGGGAGCCGTTCATTCGACAAATTTAAGCTACCACTTGCCGTCTGACATGAAGCTCCTTTTAGTTGCACGCTTCAGATATGTTGTGGATGTCTCAGGTTTTGAATTGATGTGTAGCGGTGTAAATATTGAATTCTATATTCGAAGGTTGACATTTACCTGAAGTGAATATATATACACAAACCTGGGACCTGTCTACACTGAATTTAAAATCTCCTCCAAGTAATAACCGCCGATTGTGACGTTTCGAAAACGTGTTAATTCACCACTCATTCAGGCCCCCTAAGTTACATTATATAAGATGTTATATAAAGCTGGCACGTACGCACTGTCTTAATTTTGTGCTGATCACTCTACTTGGCATATGAACGCATTGCAAGAGGAGCACTTCGTAATCAAATCATTGGAAACCCAGTAAGTTAATCGCAATACATGTTATGATCTGTAAGAAAAAGAGATTTCTTTAAACATGAATTCAGTTCTAATATCTGGAATGATAAACAAGAACGATATGGTAAAGTTAAAAGAGGCAATGGTTGAATAAATGAACCTTGGTCAGATGATATGGGGTGATAACATATCACACAATGAACCCTTTAAATTTATTCAGGCATTGGATGCGAATCAAGGCCTGCTCACTCTAAGGTACAGCCCTATTATATACATAATTTATTCTTGTGAAGATTGATTCGAAACAATTTGTAGGTTTGGTGTACTTTTGAGCACTTAGTCATGGCAAGTCGGCAATAATTGCACGCCATTTTGGAGCTGTTCTTAGTGAGTTGCCTACAGTGGCGTAACGCTTTTATGTTGTTGTGAGTTCAACAGTTTTGTCTGTTATTTATAAGTGTACGTCTATAGAGAGTGGCTATGCGCTTCACCTGAACTCACGAGTGTTTATATGTTTTCAATAACCTACGGCGTTGTCTGAGTAGGCTTTTTTTTCATTCAGACGTTGCCTGTCCACACAAACACTGCCATAAATCCTCCGCATTGCTGACAAGTTGTTATTGGCTGAATTTGGAATTACAAATTTACTAATTGTTGTGTAAACTTTGCGGGACACTGCTGAAGTAGTCATATTAAAGCAAGCTAAAAATGGATATGGTGACATCAATATTTTCGCTTTCTCAGGTAACTGAATGTCTATTCTAGAAAAAAATTGAGAGACAACACTGGTTTATACTTGGCTTGTTTGATTTATGCATGGCTATTGTGACTCACGTGAGTATTTTAAGCAAGTTCTCTCTTCTACCGTATTTCTTGTTTGGAAATTTCAAAAACATTCTAAATTTATTTTAATTAGATTATTTCACATTCAGGTATTCAGGTTGTTATTTTCTATTATTCCATCCGATGCTATTGAAAATAATTACACCGGTTTTCGATTTATTCTATATCATCTTGTGCGATTTATTAAGTTACATTTTATTTACCTCCCGTAGCACCACGCATGTGAAAGTTCCAACGTGTCTACTATGAGACGGCTCCCGTCGAATGACTGTATCAGTTCCTTGTGTTTACGCTAAAAAAACAATTGCAATAATCTGTGTGGATTCATTCATTTGGATACCCCTATCCAACAAACTAATGCTGTATACAAATTCATGCAGTGAATTATTGACTATAGTGGCGTCAGTGTGATATCTTTAAACATACATAAACACATTTCTGAACGAATATAAATATTTGTGTATGAACTTAACGTGTCGAACAGTGGTAATAGATGATTTCGTCTGTATGCTGTTGTGTACATACCGCTTACTTAAAATACACTTGTGGATTCACGTACATGGTTGTAAATTATTTCTTCAAATCGCAATTTGTTTTCATTGGGGATTATTATAGAAATGACATGAAGACTCCAAAGGTTGGAGAAAAAACCCTGCCATTACCACCACTGTTTTACCCAACGAGAAAACGAGAATAGTAAATTGTCTTCATAACATAAAAACAGTTACCAACACCCGGTTCCACCTTGGTCGTCCTGGGCCATATTTTCTAAATTCAAAGCGCTACATTCTAAAATAAATGGCGAAAATGCTGTCACAATATCAGCTGTGCCTGAACAACGTCACTAAAATAACCTTTAAAATAGGTATACGGTATATGTAAAGGAAAATACATTATCATGCGGTGTAGAAACTTGTACTAAAAAGAAGCCAAAAATAATTATCAATATTGACGTGCAACAACAAGACAAATCTCTCGAAGAACTACTCAAATTGAAAAATCTGTTAAAGTCCTTCATAGCGGGAAGGCAGTACAGGTTGTGCTGTTAATCCCTCAAATTCAAGTTTGTACAGGAGTTTAGTCAACTCATAGTCATCAGGTTTCTATTTCAGCTAAATAAATTATAGTTAACGAGGCAAATGATATGTGAGATTTGGATATGATTGAACGATCTGAGTGTCATATGCTTCACGATTGTCCTGGTGAAGAAACAGGATGGGACAGTGTGTCTTTGTAATGACCTTCAAACTTTAAACAAAACTACATACTGCCCGATACAAAAGGATAGTGGCAATTCCCTTTGTCAAATAATGCTAGGTCTTATGCAGTACAAAGTTCTTCAATTCGATCTGACAAATAGCCCGGCAAACTTTCCAAGAATGATGAGACTTCTTTTAGATGACAGTGCAGATATGTGGACTTATTCGTTTTGAAACCTCAATTCAACAAACTAATACAGTATAAACATTCCTGCAGACAGCCATCACTGGCTAACATTAACTTTAATTCGCTGCGCAATAAGGCGTTGCACATAAATCCATCCGGGAAGCTTTTTATTTTATAACTTACAAAGAGGAATACGTGATATATTGTTGAATATTTTGTTTATTGTTTAATCTTATATAGGCCTATGCTTCCTGACGATGAGTAACATGACTTCCCATCGAATCGAGGATATAGAGTACCGTTCCTTGGCGGAAATACATCTAGACGATGCTACTAAGTTGCTGACTTCTGCTATGCTCCAACGAGAACCTCTCATTTCATCGTTAGACAATACTAGCTACAATGTAGAGTATAGTGCTAACTACCAGCTATGTCAGAGAGCCATACGTGATGGGCTGTCATTTGTGGCTATCGATACAAGTACAAATAAGTTGGTAGGAGTAGCTGCGAGTGTAATATGCACTGAAGGGGAGGAAGGAGAATATATATACTATGCCAAAGACCTAAAGGGAAGAGAAGTATACACGCCTATGTTAGCAATATTAGGGGTACTTCATGGTCACGGTGATCCTATTGCTGGAATAACAACAACTCCATCAAGTCTGGTTGCAGAAATCGCAAAAGTAACCACTCATGTAGATTATGGCAGAATGGGGATATTAACAGAGATAACCAGACGTAAACTTGAGGTTTGCAAAGAGAAAGGCTTGTCAATAGTCATGGCTGACGCAACTAGTCCGTATAGCCAACGTGCATTCGAAAAGTGTGGTTTTCATTCAGTATATGAAATACAGTTTGATAATTTCGAGTTTGAAGGTAAAAAACTGTTTTCAAATCATCCAGTAGCCAAATGTGTTCAATTAATGGTAAAACAATTATAAAAGTGGTGAAATATCTTTAAAAAATAAATGTAAAAATTTGTATATGGTGTTGGTTTGAATTCTTTTATCGCTTATTGGTAGGTACATATGTCAAGTGTTAACAATTTACTAAGCATTTTCTCTCAATAATGGAAGTGTTGTTTAAAGGGATTTTTACCACTTGACGTTTCCACGTCATACATAGTTTGAAAGTAGGAATTGTTATGATAGCGACTTCACGTTCGCAAATTCGGTTCACACGTTGTTGCTCTATTGTTTAGAATCAACAACTTGCATGTTTAGGGTGGAGATTAAAAACATATATTTTAATCTGAAGTGGTCGATAAATTACTCTGTAACACTCTATCGAGACTATCGAAATAAATGTTTTTAGACAACAACTGCACAGACATTGCTCCGCATTGTGGCTGTAACTTGAATATTGCAATCGTGGTTATCACCTGAATAACTTCAAACACACTACTTTTTAATCACAATACACCGATTGCAATTTGATTTGTCTTTTTTCATATGTAATCAGTGATGAAACTTAAAATAAAGTTTATGAGTCAATTGTTTGAAGGGCGATGGTCGTCGCGCCACGCATGCGCAAGATATGGGGTTCATATGAACAAAGATGGCGACCTTGTATGTTGTGCAGATTAGCGAGTACAAACTGAGGCGTTACTAAACTTTAACTTTGTAATTTCTTTAGTGGTTGGAACTTGAGGTATCAGGAGTCACCAGTAGTAATTAGTGCACGTTGCGCCGAAGTCAAAACTCGTACTCACGATTTCTATCTTAGAATATATTAATAGGCAATGGGGTTCCCGACCTGAATGCCATCATGGTTTGTTACACGTTATTTTTTTATTATGAAATAATCAAATATGGAACATATGTAATAATAACAGACCCCAACACCCTCCCCGTGGCTTCCGTTGCATATGGAAGTTATTTTCACTCGAGATGCGGTGTATCCTGCGGCCGTAATTTTCCCGGGGGAGGGCAATACATAGAACTTGCCTAATGGGGAGGTGCCCCTGAAATCGGTCTCGTTTTTGGCATTTTAGGTATAAGTATCGGTCTTATTTCTGGTCAAAAAAGGTATAAATATCGGTAATATTTTTCCGATTTAGACCTCTAGGGAGATCAAAGAGAAGGCGAACTGTTGTTTCTCATTTAGCAACCTAAATATCCTGAACATTGTGTTATATAAGTGACAGGGGTGTTTCTATGGTCAAAATACATATTTTAATTCGGCTGTGTCATTGTTACTTTTACGAATTGACAGAATGGACGCATGCGCAAATAGCCGGGACACCAGAATGATCTGAGAAGTTGTCGCGGAAAACCGCTAATAGTGATTTTGGCAAAAAGGTGGCGTTTTACCGAAAATTATAAGACAAGATTGAATGCATTCAGGAAATGCTGACGTGATTCCTCCCTTCAGATATTTCTACCGAACACCGATCTATCAACAATTCTACTGGTATTAGGGCGATTTTTTTAAGTTTGTATAATTGTAAAGCAATATTTTGGCTCAGAATGAATGATTAAGCTGTATGGAATCATTTTATTTTTTTCTGCTTGATCCCATGTCTATTCAGTTTTCTCACCCTCGGAAAATAATGCCTTCCCCCCGGAAAACAATGCTTTCTTTCGTGAATGGTTGAACCCAAACTGACACGTGAAGCGTAAGTGACTGAGTCCGCTCGTCAAGGGTACAAGTAGTGCCTGATAATAGAAACTAAAAAAAGGAGTACACGATGCGTAGAATGAATGGAAATTTGCATAGTAGTTGACCTTTGACAATATGGGTTTGTTTATAGGCTGGGCAGGGCACACTTTCGTATGTTATACCAGTCTCTCTTATACGGAGTAAGCAGGACTGTGTCCTTCCATGGTGGAGTCGTAGCGAATTGTCGAGTAAATGAGTTGATCCAGACACAGCTTGCTGAGGACTGAACCTTGCGAACCGATTACGTAAAGGCAACGTGAGTATAATAGTTGTGCACTGATCATAGCACCTTGCAAATACTTCATGCGAGGCTTGGCTGAGTGGTTTATCGACAGCAGGTTGTTGTCGCTGTAATACGCCGTGGACGTCCATGGATACATGGATGCCTATAGCGATACACGTTATCTTGAGGCCGCTTTATTCACAGCCCTCGAGTGATGTAAACAATGACTAAGCAAAAATCAAAAACTATAAATAACGAGAGGTGGTGAGAAATTGTCGGTCGCTACATTCGTTCATGTTAAAACGTACAGTTTACTGTACAGCACGCTGTCGTTGAAACCTGGAATACTTAGTCGAAGTTTGGCGAAGAATTTGGTATCGCGGTCTACTCGACCGGGGAGGTTAATCCCGGAACTCGAATGCATTGCCATGAAAAGAATCAAATACGGTTGGTAGAAACTCCCGTTTTCATTGCTACAAAAATGGCGGACTGTTGATTTATGTCGAGACGATCTATTTCCTAGCCCGAACCCTCATAATATTCACCATGGTAATCATGGTCTACTCATTGGCTATTGGTCTGTTGACAATGTCATGTTCAATTTCAGCTGAATTACTGACACGATAGTTGATATTTATTTCTCTGCGTTGACATGGCAACGTGCGTTTAAGACTCGCCTGTAAACTGTGTATCCTGTCACTGTGTTTCGGCGCAGAATGCCTCTTTATCAGAGTCTACGGAATTTGTTGTCGTCAAAGGCGAAGCATGTATGTCGGTAATAACGTGCGTAGACGTGCACAGACAGTCCCCGTGGGTTAATCGTATAGCCCAGACCATTCATCTCAGTGTGTTTGTTTACCATTTTCAAGGACGCTTTTACGTTCATACTGTGGTTAGAGGGACTGTGTTAGTACAGTATCACAGTCCCTCTATCTGTGATGTTACGAATGAACAGTGACCATGTGTCTTTGCTCTGTAGCGCAGCCCACCCCTCGTGTAAAACAGTCGCACTTTATTTAAATTTGCATAATAATACGTCGACCTAATATCGCATGAAGCGTGTTTGCCTTCACAACTCCACACGTGTT